CTTTACCATGCCTTCATCAACTAATAAGGATCTTCCAAACCGAATAAAACATAATTTCTTCTTTGTATGAATTGAGTTTTATCAAAATACCACCAATTAAAACAAATTCATTCAAATTTGGTACTATTTTATATTTATGTATATGAAAATTGTATAAAAATGTTTATAAATTAAATTATTTACTTTATTTGTGTTAATTGTAACTATTATATGATATATATATATAAAATCATAAAATAACTTTTGGGGAAAACTTATCTATGACATGTATAGATAACGATGTTTGTGTGGATTAATATGTCTGTATAGATTGTGAATATTTTTGTTTGGACGGGTTTTTCATAGATGAAATAAGTGCTTTCTCATTAATCGAGAGTAACATGTTCGAAAAAAAATTGACTTTCTACATCAAACTTTCTCTTAAAAACTTACTGAATAAGTCACTTTCTATATTACTAAACCACTACTAAACAATCATATATAACTAATAAAATAAATTGTGAATTCTATTAATCTAAATAGACTGTTAACAAACATGCCCTAGTTTATCACCATCAAAGTAAAGGGAAAGCTGCACGATGTGACCATGTATTGGCCCAATAAACCAGTTGGTTCGAGCTATGGTCAACCAACAATGCTTTAGTTAGGATTGACTTATGACTTCAGAGTTCAGATAATGTAGGTATTTAATTTAAAGTTAATTCATAAAATTGAGATACAAAGGATGTTTCGTAACAATTGTGATAATATTTGTAAGTTTATTATTTTTTTTTGCTAAACATTTTTTTTCAAGGAATTGATAGGATCAAACTTTACATAAAATAATTTAGATCACTAGCTAATTTCAATTCGAAACAACAGACATCTTTTGTTAAATTTTCTAAAATCAAATAATTTATATTACTATATAATTTCAACTATTTTTAATGATTTTCACGGTCATAAATATGATTCTCGAAGATTACCCTTTTTTTTTTGTTTTATATTTCTTGATTCAATGCTGAATCTTGTAATTTCAATTTTGTTGTCATCCACAGTGTGTATTGTGGCCTAAGGCTATATTTGGTTGTTTAAACTACGTATCACTCGTTACTCAAGAATTAATGTTTAGATATTTAAAAATATGATACACGTATAGCATTAACTTTTCCTAAGTTTTAAGACAAATTAAAAATCTTTATATGGTTGTATACAATTAGTTTGGGCATAACCATCGTTATATGAAAGTTTGTAAAGTTATTATTATAAGTATTATGATATAATTAACTTATTATTAATTTTTTGGGAAAAAAATTCATTTCTTTCTCAGTTTATTCGCATTTGAGTCTTAGGGGCCGTTTACTAAATACTTACTTGGTAAGTGCTTAACGTTATAAATTTCTTCATTGTATGAAAATGAGAAGGGCCAAGAATCTTACCGGGTAAGAGCGATGAGAATGATGGAGAGTCTTACCCGGTAAGTGAAGATGACGACTCTTACCCAGATAAGCACTTACCCAGCAAATTGTTGTATTCGATATGTTTTGATGTACTAAAATCTTACGCATCAAAATAAATTATAATGTTAACTCCTATTGGAAAGCGTTTACCGGGTAAGCAATTGGGTAAACGACCACTTACATTAACATATCATAGAAGTTTCATTTGTTTGTTGTTTTGAATAATCTTCCACTTTAGCCTCTGGCTTTCCTTGACGGTGACAAAAAAATCTCATTGTTTCTTTTATCCCCGTTTTTACCGTTGAACCTTCCATTAATTCTTGCAGTATTTTGATAAAAG